CAGGGCTGGTTTCTTCTGAGGCCTCTCTCCTTGTTCTGTGGACGGCCGTCTTCTCCCTGTGTCCTCACAGGGTCATCCCTCTGTGTTGTCTGTGATACTTTCACCTTTTTAATAAGGACTAGTTGCTTTGGGGCCCACCCTAATGGCTTCATTGTAACTTAACCACCACTTCGAAGAGCCTGTCTCCAAATAAAGTCACATTCTGGGCTACTGGGGTCTAGGGCACCACCATACTAACATATGAATTGGAGGGGGGACACAGTACAATCCATAACAGTGTGTTGGAGGGACAGAAAGGTGACAGGTGAGGAGGGAGTGAGGGTGGATGGAGGGAAAGCCAAAGAGATGCGTGGGGAGATCGGTGGAGGGTTCAGAGTTGCCTAAGAATTTGGGTTTGGTTTTACACCAGAGTGCCCTGGCTACATTTTGCAAAAATCTCTCTGCAGGGGTCTTCCGGAGGGTGAGAGGGGTGGCTGGGACACCAGAGACGAGGCTCCCACGATCTTCCAGGTGAGCAACGAAGGAACTGAGCTGAGCTGGGAGGGAAGGGAGTGGGTGGATTTGGGGGCATAAGAAGGAAAAAACTTGAGGGTCAGTATGCGGAACAGGTGGAAGTTGTTGGAAATAGTGTGTCTGGAAAAGAGAAGTGACCAGCCCACTTTTCCTGGTCAGACCTTCCAAGGAGGGTCTGGTAGGCAGAGACTCCATTCTTTTTTTAAATTTAAAAAATTTAATTTTGATTTATTGTGGTAAAGCACATAACACAAAATTTATTATCTTAACCCTTTTTGATTTAACTTTTTTCTGGTGGAGGCCCTGGGGATTGAACCCAGGACCTCATGCCCAAGAATTTCTTGTTCACTGTGGTTTCCTTAGATTTCAGGGCAGTGCCAGGCATGTAGTGAGTGGCCATTGAATGTTTGTGTGAGGGATGCGTGAATAACTTTAAAACCAGAGGTGGAAGAAGTTGGGGATATTGGACTTGAGAGACAGCAGGCTCTAGGTGTGTATGCGGGCCCGGGTGGGGGTGGGGCTCAGGGTCTCCCGTGCTCTCAGTGCTCAGATGGGGGTGGCAAGCAGAGTGAGAAGGCTTACCTACGACTCCTGGGAGGCGATGAGATTTCTAACAACAGACTTGAGGTAGTGAGCTCCCCATCCCTGGGAGTGTGCAAATGGGAAGGGCACATTTCCAGGGGGTTGTAGAGAAAATTTCTGTCCCAAGGGAGGTTTGGCGCTGGGGGAAATTTAGTCTGGTCTAAATAAGAGTCCTTTGGGTTTCCCAGCAGCCCAAGGGTGGCGGGACTTTCTGCATCCTCCTCGCTTCCGGTAGCATCTGAGACTCAGCCTGTCCCGCACTCCTTCTGTGTGTGTGGCTGGCAGGGCTCTGACGCGCTGGTGCAGGGCGAGTCTCCCTGGAGGTCTGGGGTGCCTGGTTTGCTGTAGCCTCGGTAGTTCTAAATTTGGCGCTGCCTCCAGGGGCCTTGCGCTCGGAGGTGCTGCCCCCTGGTGGGAAGAAGGAGCAGTTCCCTTCACTACCTTGGAACCTCCTGGGAGTTCTTGCTGATTCTACAGGTTGAGGCTGCCTGCAGCAGGCAGGAGGGGAGGCAACAGTGATGGTGGTGGTGGGGTGTCCAACACTGCATGTTTGTGATCTGGAAATCTGAGACTATCCTCAGCTAAGGATCACCCATTGGCCCGGGATGGAGCTGGAACCACTACCAGGATGCAGTGGGACAGGGTGGGTGGTCATAGCTAGGGCCTTCACTGCTTCCTACTCCCCTCCATTGTGTGATGGCAGTTACTGGGGATGCGTGGGGTGGGCTCAATGCTCCAGGAATATACGACTTTCCATTCTGGAAATTCCTGCATAAGAACCAGTGCTGGCAGATGAGTCAGAGAGAGAAAAACATCAAATGAGCAAATAAAACCCCCAAACCAAGTCAGAGACACATAGAAAGGCTCAGGGAAAGACAAAGACAGGCAGCCTGTGAATGATGCTCAGTACATACTGACTGGAGGAAGGGATACATGAATGATCCCTTGGACCTGGGGAGGAGAGGGCCCAGAGTGAACATGGATAAGCTTGGGTGGTTCAAGCTTATTTTGTTGAGACACTGGGAGGATGTCTCCAGGCTGCTGGCCAGAGGTCATGATGTTCATTGAGCTGGGGTGGGTGGCATAAAGGCAGAACATCCTGCCTCCAGCAGGGGCCAGGGTGGCTGAGGATGAAGGCAGAGGGAGGAGAGGGGACCCAGGGCACCCTGTGGGAAGAATGCCCAGCCCTTAATTCTGAGAGAGGCCTCATAGGGCATCCTCAGGGCAGGTCTCAGTTAGAAACCCTGGGCATGGTGTATAGGAATAAGCTGACAGAGGTCTGGGGAGATGGAGTGAACTTAGAACAAACTACTAGCAGAATGGAGGGAGATGGGGATGGATAGCCCAGGACAATTGGCTCCTGGGGACTTGTGTGGGGGCAGCAGGAGGGAGCCAGTGTCCAGGTGGAGCCCCCACCGTGGGTATCTATCTGCCTCAGGGTCACGTTGTGCTGGGCAGCCCTTGCGAATGTCACTGACTATGGGTGTCTCAACTAATGAGATGGGACCTGGGAATTGGTCCTAGGGGAAGGGTTTCATCCGGGAAATCTGAAAACCCCAGGGTGGGGTGTCCTGGGGCTCACCGTGGGGCAGCCCGGGGAAAGTGTCTTTGGGGAGGGAGTTGGTGGGGTCAGAACACAGGGGCTGGCTTAGGGCATTAGTGGGGTCATCACATGTTGGTCCTGGGGGCCAGAACCTTCCTGGGAGGATTCCAGGGGCTGAGGAACAGGGTCAGGAGATGTGCCAAGAGACGATGTGGGAGTATGTCTGAGGGAGATGCAGAGCAAGGGAGTGGGCTGAGAGCAGAGTGGGCCATCCTGGGGGTTGGTGGGTCTCAGAATACGGTGTTCTGTTGGGGGACAGGGGAATGGTTTGTGGGAATATCTGGACGGAAGCAGTCTGGGGAAGCAATCACTGGGGAGGGCAGAGCTTAGAGGGTGGATCTTGGTGGTGGATGTGGAGGTTCAGCACTCATGGGGTGATGTCCAGAATATCAGGGTGTCAGAGAACTTTGTGTAATGGACCAGGGATACCAATGAGGGGATGGATTTGGGGTGCTCAGAATCACGAATGTCTTTGGTGTGGGCTTGGGGAGGGGAATCTCAACCTGAATGCCTTGCGGGGCTGGGGTCGTGGGAGAAGAGTGAGACAAGGTTAGGATACGGAGGTGTCTGGGGGGACTTGCCATGGGGGAGGTGGGTTAGGGAGTCACAACTGAGGTGTCTCAGGGGGTGGATCATGGGAAGTGAGCTGAGGCAGGGCAGAAAGAGGGATGTCTTGGAAGGTAATCAGCCATCAGGGAGGTGGGTCAGGGGTGGGTCCAGGAGTGGACCTGGCCCAGCGTGGGGGTGGGGGTGGGGTAGGTCGGGTGGGGGTTGGGGGGAAAGGCAGGACAACGGAGCCGGCTAGGCAGCAGAAGCTTTACTGCGCATAACTCCCAGCCACACCCACCCCTGCCCGCGTCAGTAGCACTTGCGGTACACGATGTGGGGCCCCTGCTCCTCATACTGCTCCCGCAGGACCCAGCAGGACTGGAAGGCACGCAGCGAGGCCAGGATGGAGCCCCCGATCCACACGGAGAGGTTCCTGCTGGGCTGGGCCGCCACCACCACGTGGGCCTCTGGGGGCAGACTGCGCAGTAGCTCAGCGCGGAAGCGGCCCTCGAACCCGGAGAAAAGTGAAGAGCCGCCGCAGAGGAGCACGTTCTGGGCCACGTCGGTCCGCACCTCCAGGGGCACCTTGTGAAGACTCAGCTTGGCCATGGTGGGGATGCCCACGGGCGACAGGCCTGGGATCTCCGGGGGGCTGAACAGCAGCTCCGGGCATTGGAACAGCTCCTTGCCCAGCGTGACCGTCCGCCCGTCGGGCAGCTTCAGGGTCTGGCGACATTCCAGTTCCGGCCGGGCCTGTTCCTTTAACAAGTCGGGGGCCACGTAGCAGTAGCGGTGCTTGATGTTTTCCACCGCGTCCAGGTCCTGCTGCCCCAGCGGCAAGCCAGAACCAAGCAACATCTCCGCCAGGAAGGCGGTCAGGTGGGTGCCCGCCAGGTCCAGGCGCTCTGTGGCATGGGGCAGGTCGTAGCCCTGGAAGACGGGCACTGTGTAGGTGACCCCATGGCCCGTGTCCACCACCAGCCCGCTGACCCGCCCGTGCGCGTAGACGGACAGCACTGACTGGGAAGCCACGTACATGGCGGGGGAGTTCAGCGACTCGAAGGCCACCTCCACCAGCTTCTCGCGGTTGGTGATGGGGCTGAAGGGTGGGTCGGAGAACAGCAGCGGGTGGTCCCGGGTGGCCACGCGGAGGTCGTGCTCCAGCATGTGGCGCCAGATGAGCTCGGCAGCGTCCCAGTCCACCACGATGCCGTTGCGCACCGGCCGCACCAGCGTCAGCTCTGGGCGCATGCGGGCTGCCTCCCCGATGAATGTCTCCAGCACCGGCTGCCCCGTGGTGGCCGGCTTCTTGGGCTGGCAGCCCACGATGGTGGCCACGGTGTAGGTGGGCCGGGCCTGTCCTGCGAAGCCCACCTTACAGGTGCCCGTGCCCATGTCGATGACCACCGCCCCGGTCTTTGGGGGCAACCTGTCGCCCACCATGTTGGGGGGTGTCCAGCGGCAGGGTCTTGTTCACCAGGATTGAGCTGGGGTTGCCAGGCTTGGGGTCCTCTGGGGAGGCCTGGGGCTCCGGGGGGTCGTGCTGATTTGTATCCATGGTTGCAAGTGGTTGGATGGGTCCTTGGCAAGGCTGACAGCTTTCCTCTGGGGGGTGGGGGGTGGGGCGGGGCCCGGAGAGAAAAGGTTGAGGCTGGGCCTGGGGCAGCATAAACAGAGAGAGGGAGAGGGGGCCCGGCCGGTGGTCTATGACATCACTCGGCCCGCTGCCCACTTCAGAAGACCTCACAATGCAGAGTGAGGGTGAGGGGTAGAGGTGGACCCCTCCCTGCTCCAAAAAGCTCCCAGGGTATTTACTTTTGTGGGTGCCCCTCCCTGACCCTCCCAGTGCTGCCGGCTTTGGAGGAGGAGGGGGTAGAGGGTTTCTGAGGAGGAACTTCTGATCCAGCTCCCTGATCCAGAACTCAGTGAGACCCAGGTACCCTCTTGGTGCTTTGTCTTGAAGCTATTTACAGTGTAGTACCTGAGAGCTGGTCACAGGCCTCCTTAGAATATTAAAATATTCTTCCTTAGAATATTAACCAGAAAGGAGTTGGCTTTAGGGTGGCTGTCTGGTTTCCAAGAGGAAACAGAAGCCAGCCCCAGTGGGAGATGGGGCAAGGAGAGGCACTGACCCTTCAACTCTTCTGCTCTTCCTGCTGCCTGGAACAGTCTCCCCATCCCATTCCTTTTGCCCTTCAAATCTCAGCAGGATACCACCTCCTCCTGCAAGTCTTCCCTGGTTTCCCCTCCCTCTCACCACTACACGGTGGTGGTAGGAGGTGTCTACTTTCACTCCATCTACTTCTTCTTGATGGAAGAGGGTATCCATCGGATACAAAAAGGGGCTGTAATTGTAGATAAAAGGAGGAGCATTTGAGAGGAAGAAATTGCCTCAACCAAGGACTGTGGGCTCCAGAACACATTGGGAGTTGCTTCAAAACCTGTTTTTGGTGCTGGTAGGTATGACCTGTTAGTTAAAACAAATGAATGAATTAAAACTTGTTTGTGTGTATGTGTGTGTGTGTCTTTGTGTGGAGTGCTAGAAATCACTGGGACTAGAAAGGCTTCATTTCCTAATTGTGTCTTGATTTACTATCCTGGCCAAAGAGCAAGGTTGAGTTTTCATTAAATTAATTATTTTGTTTGCAGTTTTTGGAAATGTCCATTTACTTATTTGTTTATTGAGAGTTTGGGCACTTCCTCCTAGGTTTATTGAGATGTAATCCACATGTAACGGTGTCTAAGTCTAAGATGTACAATGTGTCAATTTTTAAAATTTTATTTTTTTATTGAAGTGTATTTGATTTACAATGTTAATTTCAGGTGTACAGCAAAACGATTCAATTATACATGTACACACATATATACTGGGAAGATGATTTCATGATAAATGTGAACTCCAATTTGTAAGGTCTGGTTGTACAGTGTGCTGAGTGGAGAAACTTTATCAGACTCAGGTAGAAAGCACTGAGATCAATTACTAATGTCTGCCGTGGAATAGAGTGGTGGCATGGCACAAGGAATTTGTGATAGTTGATCTACTATATATCAAGCACTTAAAATAGGTCACTTTCTCCTGCTTCTACCCTGGTTCCATCTTGTTGCCACCTGTCTGACTCATTTTAAAAAAATTATTTATTTATATTGAGGTATAATTGACATCTATCATTATATTAGTTTCAGGTGTTCAATATAATGGTTCTATGTTTGTATGTGTTGCAAAATGCTCACCACAATAAATCTAGTTCACATCTGTCACCATTCATAGTTACAAAATTTTTTTCTTGTAATGAGAGAACTTTTAAAGTTTACTCTCTTAGCAAGTTTCAAATATGCAATGCAGTATTATTAACTCCAGTCACCTGACATTAATTTTATTACAGGAAGATTGTACCTTTTGACCCCTTTTAGCTTTGGTTTGAACAACAGTCTTGGTAATTCTGCCTTGCCCTTGCCTATGACTTCTTGCAGTGGGCATCCCTGTTCAGAGTAGGCTGGCTCTCTGATCTCCGCCTTTAACCCTAGCTCTGTCCATGAACATGCAATAAACTCATGACACTAGAACCATCTGTGTCTAGACCATTGTATTTCCTGAGTCTTTGAGGCCCTTCACAAATGGAGTTTAGAAGAAGTATCCTGACCCAGGGAAGCTGCCTCCTAGCTGTTCCACTATCATCACTGCCTCATTATTTAATGCAGAAGAAATATCTAGGATATTAGATTTTTTTTGAGCATTTGTAGTAATGAATTCCCATATCTCCTCCTCCTATTTAGATCCAAACAGAAAGACTTGACTGTCTATCCAATTATCCATATCACTCCTGCCCATCCTTCCTGTGGTTAAGAGATGAGTAAATGTTTTCCCATAATCCTTCAGGGACAATCCAAATATCAAGGGCTCTTGGCTTCCACTGCAACTAATTTTCTCTCTAGTGGAAAGGGAGACCCCGAGGGGTGTCTGATGCAACAGCTCTCCCTGGGGCCTCCATTTCTAGATGATGACTTCTGTCTTTCATAAACAGAGGAAGCCCTGGTTAAGCCCATTATGCTGAAACCCAGGGAGGTTTTATCAGGGACTATCCTGGAACGAGAGATGTTGTCATGCTAATGAGGTGTTGAGAAAGGTCCCTCACTCTACATGCGGACCCTGGTAAGAGGGGGTGCGAACTTGGAACCCAGCCTTGTGGTGGTCTTGGGGATCCAGGCATGATTTAAAAATTAGACATTAGTAGAGTGATGGATGTGCTCTATTCCTTCTGCCTGGAAAAACTCTCCCTTGCCTAGCTGCCAGGAAAGCCCCTACCTGATCTTCAAATCTCAGCTCCAGTGCCTCCTCTGTGAAGTCTTCGCTGAGCCCACCCCAGGCAGAGTTTCATCTCTTGGGTACCCAAAGCATCATGCATGTGTGTCTATTACACTGATGATCAGACTACTCTGAAATGACTTGAGAAGTGCTTGCTTTCCCGCTCAAACTCTAAATTCCGTAACTGTAAGACTCAGTTATCTTACTTTCTTACATCACTGACTGACTTTGAAAAACGTTGCCAGTGAGGTAGACCATTCCATTTTGGGTTGGATTTCATTGTTAGAAAGTTCTTACTTAGGGTGAACCATACAGCTAGCCTCACTAACATCTACCTCCCGGAAGTGGGAAGCAATTGGTTCTATTGCATCCCTCTCATAGAAGCTCTTCAAATATGAGGTCACTTATTGCAAGAGGCTTCCCTAATCATGCCCAGTGGTATCCCACCCATTTCCTACAGAATGTCCTACTTACTTCCCCTATCCCATAGATCTTGCCCATTTATCTCCTTGTTTGCCACTGATATCCTGAGGAGACTGTGAAGTTCAGGGAAGCAAGGACTGCTTGGGTGATTCATCTCTATTGAATGCCTTATGCCCAACTCAGTGTGTGACTGATTTTGTTGAATATATGACTGAATGGTAGCTTGGGGTGAATGATAGGAAAATCAGAATGGTAGATAATGAAAGACAATCTTGAAGGCCATCTGAGCAAGAATAGCAGCTTTAGGACAAAGAACTTCAGTGAGACCCTCAATACAATCCATTTGCCCTTAAATGGCTAGTCTTGTTGCTTCTCTAACTAGCTACAGTTGGGAATGGACATTCTTTTGGTCCTGAATTGTTCATGGTTGGAGTCTTGGGTGATGCATGTTTAGCCAGGGAAATCTGGGTTTGCCTGGGGACTTGGAGATTGCCAAGGGAATTAAGTATTTCTAATGTAAGTATGCAGCTCCTGCTGGTCTGGGGTCATCTTTCTTGTCTATCTCATTCACTCAGGCAATATTTATTAGATATTCACATTCTTCTAGGCCTGGTGCCTAACCTCAGTTTTTGAAATTGAGTCAGACTACCTGTAGGTCACTTCTCTTCCATCCAATGCAGTGAAGCCACCAGTAATAGCTGAGCTCATTGATAGCTGTTCCCCCAACCTAACCCCTAGGCCGTTTGATTCCCAACCTCCTGTCATCCTAGTGTCTCTCTGGCTCACACTCTCTCGATTCTGACCCTCAAATTGACCACAGTGCTGGCCCATCACAGATTTCTCTTTGTTCCAGATTCTCATTCAGGCATTTGGACCCAGGTCCTTCTCTTTCTTTTCTTGCTTGGTTTGTGGCTTGAGCTCCATCATCCTCTATTTCACCTCCAAGTCTTTTTAGACTCTCACTTATGCTCTGGCCTCAGAACCTTTGGGATAACAAATACTGAAATGTTATTCTGGGGCTATGTTACTGCGTTTGGACTTGGACCCTGAAATTGGGGCTACAAGAGTCAGTGGGTAGCTCTTGACTGGGGTGTGGCCAGGTATCTCATTCAGAGATGCAAGTGACTGCTCTCCTATCCCATGCCTGTGTCAGACATCACTAAAAGATTATCGCTTTTCCATCTAATTTGAGCTGTGATCTCATAACTCAAGATGGTCCTCCAGGCAGCCACTACCAACCCATGCCCACTGGCAACTGGGATGAAACTTATTTGCCATCCCTATTTAGACTTCTTGCCATAGGTCTCCTGTTCTTCCTGCAGCAAAGGTATGTTATGTAAGACATGGGGGATGTGAACCAATCAGTGGCCTCTGACTTCATTCTGGTGGGCCTCTTCAGTCGCTCAGGTTCACGTCAGCTACTCTTCTCCCTGGTGGCTGCCATGTTTATCATGGGACTTCTGGGCAACACTGTCCTGCTCTTTGTGATCCGCATGGACTCCCGACTCCACACACCCATGTACTTTCTGCTCAGCCAGCTCTCCTTGTTTGATGTTGGCCTCCCCCTGGTTACCATCCCCAAGATGGCGTCAGACTTCCTGCAGGGAGAAGGCTCCATCTCCTTTGGGGGTTGTGCGGCTCAAATATTCTTCCTGATGCTGATGGGTGTGGCTGAGGGCATCCTATTGGCCCTCATGTCCTATGACCGTTACGTTGCTGTGTGTCACCCCCTGCAGTATCCTGTGCTCATGAGGCGCCAGGTGTGCCTGGTCATGGCGGGTTCCTCCTGGCTGGCAGGTGTGCTGAACGCCTCCGTCCAGACCTCCATCACTCTTCATTTCCCCTTCTGTGCCTCCCGCACCGTGGACCACTTCTTCTGCGAGGTGCCAGCCCTGCTGAAGCTTTCCTGTGCGGACACCTCCGCCTACGAGCTGGCGCTGTCCACCTTGGGAGTGCTGACCCTGGTGCTTCCGCTTTCCCTCATTGCCAGCTCCTACGGCCACGTGTTGGGGGCCGTTCTACGCATGCGCTCAGAGGAGGCCCGAAACAAGGCTTTCACCACCTGCTCCTCGCACATCACAGTAGTGGGACTCTTTTATGGAGCAGCTGTGTTCATGTACATGGTTCCGGGCGCCTACCACAGCCCCTACCAGGACAACGTGGTTTCCCTGTTTTACAGTCTCGTCTCTCCCACGCTCAACCCCCTCATTTACAGTCTGAGGAACCGGGAAGTGCGGATGGCTTTGGTCAAAGTGCTCAGCAGAGCTGGGCTCAGGTCAAAGTGATGACCACAGAGGGAGCTGCGGGCGTGATCCCAGTGGTCCTCCATCCCACACATCTCTCCAAAGCACCCATCCGCGGTGCAGCCGCGCAGGCCTTATGCCCAAGGTTAAGGGTCTACCCAGCTTCTTCTCACTCTCTGACTAGCTGGGCTCATGTTTTCTCCCACAGACTTGTGGAAGGCAACAGCAGCAGTTCCATAGTAAAAGGAAATATATTCTTTCCCTATTCTTTAGTACTATTTACACTAAGGGAGGCCTTACTTTGTTAAGTTGAGATCTCCTTGTTATTGAATTGATAATTAAACTAGTAGTAATGAAAAATTTTGACCAATTGATCTGCTAATTGAATGTTACTTCATCCTCATAACAGCTTTTGAGATGTAGGGACTATCATGTTTTCTGTTTAAGAAACGAAGGAGACTCAAAAAGGGAAAATAACTCACCAATGGTCACACTCTAGAAAGTGGGAGAGCTGGCACTTAAACCCACGATGCTCTGATGCCAAACCACTGTGCTGTTTGCTAAGCACTGATCTGTTAACTGTCACAGGTGTGTGTGTGTGTGTGTGTGTGTGTGTGTGTATAAAGATGGAAAACATTGCACATCTTTTTCTTTAACCAAATATGGAATTCTTCATTTAGAAGATTAAAAAGAAACTCTCTGTGTTTGCTCATAAGCTCAGTCTTGAAAACAGTTTAAAACAAGAGCAACAAAACAAAAAAAGCCAACGTATAAACATTGAACATAAATAATTTATTTGTCTGCACCCTATTCATTAGATATTTGAACTTTCTTTATTTTGTACTTGATTTGGTAGCTAAAAATAAGTGCTTGGCTTTAAAAAAGAGATTTTAAATATATATTTCCTAAAGATATAATATTTCCTTTTCTCTTTATTCTCTCCTGCTTTCCTTGTGATTCTTCTATTCTTTTTCTAATTTATCCAATCTCAAGATTAAGTTAAATACTTTTTATTAATTAAAAATATTTTAGATGAAATATTTCTACTCAATCAGTGTATTATGTATTTTTCAGTGTTTCCAATATGATAATTCTATGTATTCTTCAGGCCATTTCTTTACAAAGTATTTGAGAGGCATTAAAAATGTTAATGTAAAAATTGGTCTCTTGTTTTAATGTTTTTTCCATTATAGTTGATGTACAATATTATGTTAGTTTCAGGTGTACAGCATAGTGATCCAACAATCAAATACATTACAAAGTGATCACCATGAGAAGTTCAGTAACCATCTGCCATCATACAAAATTATTACAGTGCTATTGACTATGCTGTATATTACACCCCCATGATTTATGTATTTTATAAGTGGAAGTTTTTATCTCTTAATCCCCTTCACCTATTTTTCCCAACCCCAACCCCCTCCCTCTGGCAACCACCAGTTGGCTCTCTGTACCTATAAGTCTGTTTCTGTCTTGTTTTGTTTGTTAATTTGTTTTGTTTTTTAGATTCCACATGTAAGTGAGATCATACAGTATTTGTTATTCTATGACTTATTTCGCTTAGCATAATGCCTTCTAGCTCCATCCATTTTGCTGCAAATGTCAAGATTTTTCTTTTTTTATGACTATTGCATTGTACGTACATACCACATCTTCTTTATTCGTTCATCTATTGATGGATATTTAGATTGCTTCCATATCCTGAGGTATTGTATATAATAATGCAATAAACATAGGGGTACATATAGCTTTTTGAATTAGTGTTTTTGTTTTCTTTGGGTAAATACCCAAAGGTGGAATTGCTGGATCGTATGGCAGTTCTATTATTAAGTTTCTGAGGAATTTCCATTTTGTTTTCCATAGTGGCTGCACCAATTTACATTCCCATCACAGTGCACGAAGGTTCCCTTTTCTTCACATCCTTGTCAGTGCATGTTATTTGTTGTCTTTTTGATGTTGGCCATTCTGACAGGGGTGAGGTGATAGCTCATTGTAGTTTTGATTGGCATTTGCCTGATGAGCAATGTTGAGCATTTTTTCATGTACCTGTTGGAGATCTGTATGTATTTGGAGAAATGCCTATTCAGGTTCTAAGAGGTATTTTTAAAGTTTCCCATATGAGGTGATTTATCCTTAATTAAAATTTACATTATTTCATTGTCCTCAGGTATTTTCGTTTGAATTATTTCTATTCATAGGACTTCAGTGTTTCTTCCAGTATCTAAATATATGGGATTTTGTTACAGGTCATGAACTCTAAAATATGTATGCAGTAAACACAGAAGTTATATTTAATATGTGTCAAATAGATCCGTTACCACAAATAATGACATTTGGGGCAACTATACCTACTTGAACTGGTATAGTCTGGGAAAGGTGAATTAAAGCTTTATTTACTTTTAAAATGTGCCTTGTTTCTTACTAGTTTTCTTTTACAAAGAGGAATTTTTATTTGCCTCTGAGACTTACAACACTCTGTGACATGTCAAAAGTTGTTCAATTCTTTTTATTACAAATTCAGTCCTATTGGGTGATAATTACCTGACCCAGCAGAGGTTTAGTAGAAAACCTAAAGAGATCATAAACATCAAAGAAATTAGATTTTTCCACATACTACTCCAAGCCCCAGAAATAGATTGCTTTTCAAAAGGTCTTTAATAAAGATAAATAATATGTGCAAAGGTAATTTATAACATTTGTACCCCCCAAAAATGGAGGACTCTAACCAATTTCCTCAAGGCTGGAATAACCTTGAGTGATAATTTGGATAGGAGCAATGGGGAGATGATTTTTGTACCATTTCTCTTACACATCTAGACGCAATCATTCTTTGTATCATGGTAGCTGATAGAATTCAACTGGATATTAAAAAGAAGAACTTTTTAAGAATATTAAAATTTATTCCTGGGTCCAAAGGCTGGAAGAACAGTGGAAATTCAGTGATTGCTTCTTGGGTGAATTCCCCCAAATATTTAAGTTAGAGGTCATATCAGTTCTATAAAAACTCTAACTTTTCATCTCATTCTGTGAAGCTAGCGTGATTACCTGACACTAAACCCAATAAAGATGTTGTAAGAAAAGAAAACCACACATCAAAATCCTAATAAACATACACACAATAATTCTTAATGGCATTTTAGCAAGTTAGAGCCCATGACATATAAGAAAGATTATACCTTATGGCCCCGTGGTAGTTTAATCCCCAGAACCGAACTTGTAACACTTGAATAGCAATCAGTGTAATTCACCATATTAGCAAACTAAGAAAAATCATATGATCATCTCAATGTATTAAAAAGCTTTTCAGAAATCCCCAAATACTTTACTGATCAAAACTCTTAGCACAGTAAGATAGAAGGGAAGTTCCTCAACTTGATAAAGAGCATCTACAAAATCCTACTGTTTACACCAGACTTCATCAGCAAGGAGTGAATGCTTTCCCCCTAAGGTCAAATGAAACAAGGGTGTCTGTTCTCAGGACTTTGCTTCCTCATTTGCTGTAAGTTTTATGAAGTGGAATAAAATAGGAAACATAACTGAATGTAATCCAGGTTGGAATAAAAGAAGCAAACTGTGCTTATTTACAGATGACAAGATTACCTATGTGGAAAATCCGATGGAAAACACGCACACACATACACACACACACAAAGCTAAACTAATATGTGAGTTTAGCAAAGTTGTATGATCCATGAGCAACATAAAGTGACCACTTGTATTTCTATATATTGGCAAATAATCAGTGTAGTGAAATGAATGAAAAATAAAATAAAGTTAAATTATGAAATTATTATTAAAATCATAATTCAATTATACATTTAATTTATTCAGTCACACAATTATTCAACTGCAATACCAGGTCTTCATTATTTAATCTATTAAATTATTAAATGAAAATAAATTATTCTCTTTGAAATTGAAATAAGATGTGATCTACTTACAGATAAACTGATAAAAGATGGGTAAGGCTGGCACATGGAAGGGTACAAAATAATGCTAGCACAATTAAAGAAGACTTGAAAAATGTAGACATGTATTTTGTTCAGGTGTTTGCAGGTTCAACATTTTTAAGATGCCTATTCTTCACAAAGAAGATTTATTAATTCAATGCAATTCTAATCATAATCACAGTGGTAAGCCTTTTTTTTTGGTGTAAATTGATCAACCTATTCTAAAATTAACTTAGAAAGTGTAAAGGGCCCAGAATTGGAAACTGCTGAAAAAGAACAAATTTGGAGAAGTATTCCTAAGTGATTCCAAGCCACCTGAGAAATTTGAGCAATAAAGAGAGTATGCTATTTTCATAAAGATAAACAATAGATCAATGAAGTTATAGAGAGAAAAAGGGATAAATAGGTGTCACACTCCTTGAGTGTAAGTATTAGAAGAAATGTAAGTTCAAAACACTACATAATTCTTGAGCCCAATTATCATATAGATTTTAATATAAAAAGAAGAAAAATCATGGTAAATACAAATTGAGGTTACCTATGAAAAGTGAAGGTCATGATGGACGTTGAAAGGAGATGCTGGTAAAAGTCAAGTCCACCTCCTGAGTCAAGTCCAAAAGTCAAGTCCAAATTTCTCAAGGACCACACCACTCTCCTTTTCTTCAGTACTGATGTAGCCTTTCTCCCTGTGTTTTCAGGGGGTCTTTCTTAGCTCCTCATTCTCTCTGGAAATTCCATCTGCCCTCAAGGCCACAGTCAGTCTCTCCCATGCTATCTTCACTTCCCACATCTGACTCCTCATATCTCCAGAAGTTACACATCTCCTGCAGAGGGGCTGTGAGAGACCCAGGCCCATTCCTGGACTCATCTATGCCTGATATGGACACTGCCTGGGGCGGTTTCTATTAAAATATAAGTTGTATTTTGGTGATAGTATAGAGAAACTTTCATAACTTTTTGTGGATGGTATCTATACTGAGTGAAAAAGGAAACATTAATATATACATGACTGGGGCATTGTGCTGTACACCAGAAACTGACACATTGTAACTGACTATACTTCAAAAAAAAAAAGGAAACAGTAAAGTGTTG